TAGCTAGAACTACAGAGAGAGAATTCAAACGTTCTTAAAAGTAAACTGCTCTCACGTGTCGGTTAATATTCGAAACCAGGAGCGAGTATAAAAATACAAAATGAACGAGTTTGGTATTAAAGGGAGGTAATCCATGACCGCACCAACAACCAGACACGAATTGGCCTACTGTTGATCTAGCTTTAACGAACGAATGACTTTAGAATAATTATTGCATTTGGCGGATACGGACGTTCCCATGATTCAGTTGGTTTTAAACATGAACAGAAACAGATGTGATCGGTTTGAGCAGGTAGGGAAGGTACTGTATTTCATAAGGCGGCTAGGCTCGAGCTAAGTGGCAGCCATTGACATTTTGATTGAGTCGTTCAAACTTGTTGAATTGAGAACTTCTATTGGCTTGCGGCTAGTATCAACACAACTGAGCCAATTTGTCTTAGTTTGCTAAACGAACAAATGCACCTTCAATCAAAACGGCGCCACGGGTTCAGACTCTCGTACCAATATAACAAGGTTTTGTCCACTGGTCCTCGAAGTCATAGGTCCATTGGGTACCATATATGAACCCTATTTCTGAGATTACTCATAATATAACTGGGACATTGCTAAATGCGGCCTAATACTATATTCACTCGCTTATTCAGTATTTCTGGTTTGAATTTCCTCTCGCAGTGTTGTGGGTCTGTCGCAATCAGCATATTTTGATTAATAAGTTCTGAAATTTGTAATGCTGTATGTTATATATAACAGAGAAACATCAAGAAAAGTTCCGGTGAATTTCGGGTATTATTCCATAAAAATATTTCCAAAATTATATATATGGATCAAGTGTAACAGCAGAGAACGCAACACGAAACGCCTTCAGATATTACTTTTATTTCATTCAGATCCCGTGTGTAATCGTCTAATAGTTTCCCTTGTCTAGTCAGTCTTAAAACGTTTCTCGAGTGTGTGTACTACGTCACTTCCTGCTGCGATGTACTCTCGGTCGAGATGCACTATTTTCTTCCTGACTTTCTGTAACAAATGTGTACATATATCGCAATAGAAAATATTTTTGCTTTTGCTGTGTGTATTTATAAGACATGTAGGTATACCCAGTAGTTTTGGTGTGAAAGTGCACAAATCTACGCATAACTGGGGTTTCTGTATGTAAATCTTTGTCACGTGATCGTATTCGCCTGTTGTGTATGTTTTTGTGCATTAATATATGTATCAAATATAACTACAATGTTGTTTATCATCTAATTTAAGTTTCCACGTTATGAACCTAAATGAACCTTTAGACAATTCAGTCATGATTCACTGTTATGTGTTTACTTGCAAAACCTTTTGCATTTAGATAGTCCAGATTTGAATCACCAGCACAGTTTGTCATCAGTTAAAAGAAAACAGTTTGAGCAATGTAAGGAACATGGCATTGCTATTTTATATTGTTGTTTGACTTGTCAAACAAGGTTGTTTATCCGTATATATACTGAACAGCAAAAGAAACGCAAGTTTCGAAAAAAGTAAGCGTTCATGTTTATGTCTTCTATTTAAAAACTTGACAAAATGCCAGTTTCGTATCTTTTGCTGTGCAGTATAGCAAAGAACATCGCGTTGAAGTTCATTTTGCCAACATTGATGTTGATTTTGTCACGATTCATATGAATAGGTGCGCGTATCACACCGTTGTCACACGTGTATTCACGCACTTATTGTATAACCCTTGTTCACTATTTAGTTAAAGAGTACGTTTTGAATTAATTACTTCAATCATGTTGGTGCCTTTCTTAACCAAATGCAACTTTTTTCGATTCCATTTTCCATTGTAAATATCGTTTGACCATTGCTTTTTAAGAATAATTTCAAAAGAAATTTCTTGTTGATCTAAACTTTAGGTGTCTCTGTCACGCCCCTGTGATCTTATTAAAATACAATGTATGGAATTTGGTGTATTGTAACGCCGTAATATTTGGATTCAATATGACACACGTATTCTTCTTCCAAAGTGTTCGCAATGGCTTTCGATGGGGGTGTTTAGCTTTAACGGCAAATAGAATATCCGATGCCAGATAAAAGTTATTTATTTATCGATGCACTGATAGAGCGCGGTGTTCCCGTTGTGTGTACTTATTTCTGTACAGTACTGTATTTCGTTGCTGTGGCATCACCCTATGCCGATTATCTCATCCTAGAGCTAGTCGGTAAATAAATGTAAACAAAATCATTTGTGTTTGTAGTTTCTTAGTTGTTGTTTTTGTTTGGATTTTTTGCAAAACAGCATTCTTCCATCTAGTGAGTGAGTGAGTTTGGTTTTACGCCGCACTCAGCAATATTCAAGCTATATGGCGGTGGCCTGGAAATACTCGAGTATGGACCAGACAATCCAGTGATCAATATTATGAACATCGATCTATATGGGATAAGATGACATGTGGCAACCAAGTCAGCCCTGACCACCCAATCCCATTAGTCGCCTCTTACGACAAGCATGGGTTACGTAACACCAATTCTTCAGTTACCAATGCTTGTCGTAAGAGGCGACTATGTGTCACAAGCGAGGAATACTCCATTCTGAAGCAGAGAAATCATTGGTTCTTGAATAAAAATAAAAATGTTGAACAAAAACGTTAGAAAGGGAGAAAAGCCTGTCCATAGTCACTGGAAGGTCCAGCTATTGTCAATTGTACAATTCCAACTGTGTCACGAGCACTATCAAATCATGATGCTATCACTATGAAATAGGACCCCTGGAGATCCGGGTTAGACTTGATCTTTAGTAACCCATGCTTGTCGTAAAAGGCGACTGACGGGATTGGGTGGCTAGGCTCGCTAACTTGGTCTGATCCAGACTCCAGACTCACCGCCATATAACTGGAATATTGCTGAGTGTGGCGTTACACCACAAACCAAAACAATCTCCGCCAAGAAACACTATGAGCGTTCAGTTCAGCTGTCGATCAGACAAACTGGAGAGATACCTCAGGGTGTTGGTGAGGTCCCGAAACGGCCACCATACAAACTCTTCGAGAAACGTACTTCCAGAAGTGACCAATAACGATCCAGCCTGGAATTGGTTAGTCTGTCATACAGACTCTGAAACAAATATACCAAATGCAGCCCACGCAAGTCTAGAATATGTGGCAGGTCTAGACTGCCACAGTTTCTGAAAATGAAGAAAGTCTCTGGGCTCCCTTTCATTATATTTTATGATTACAATATAGGAACTATTTTTTTTTATAATTTTCATTTCAGCAACTCATGTTTGTCGTAAGAGGCAACTAATGATAATGATAATGATTATGCATTGGAGATTTTACGTGCGCATTCCGACATCATTCCTATTTCGCTCATGTAACGGGATCCCACTAACGGGATCGGGTGCTGGGTGAGACGCGCTGTCTTGGCTGACGCATGTCATCGAATCTCATCTGCACAGATCGATGTTCATGATGTCAATCACTGGATTGCTTGATCCAGACTCGATAATTAACAGACTGCCATCACCTAGGTGGTGGAACATTGCAGAGTGGGCGTTAACGTAAACAAGAAACAAAAAGGAAATGGTTTTCATCTATGTCGTAGTCCAATATAGGAATTAACAGTTAGCTTTTGAAATCTCCCATCAAAAGCACTGCACGTAGGATTCACACTAACGGGGGTGGGGTGGGGGGTGGAGTGGACCGCCACCCTATGATAAGTGTGATGAGTGAATCGAACCCGGGTCGTCAACAGGACAAGCGAACGTCGAGCGAACCACTGGGCTACCCCACCGCACCTTCCAATTAGCTGAGTGACACAGGATATGTATCGTTTTAGCTTAATTTGACAATATATTCAATAGTTCTAGTACCGTTTCGAGGAAATTTGAAAGATGTTTGACTTCACTAGGCAGATATAATAACGATGATGTGTAGAGAGAAGACAAATAGAATCCAAGCTTTTTGTCCAATCAAGCTTTTGTGTTTGGGAACTTGGTTATACTCTTAATAATAAGAAGAGGAACGATAACAGTCAAGCAGTTTATTGGCAGTCGTGTTGTGTGCAATATCGAATACAAATCATAAAACAGTTGTTTTGTATTAAAAATTGGATACAAATCATTAACGGAAACATATGACATATAGACTGACAATAATAGGAGTGAGTGAGTGATCCAACCATTAAATAATAATTATACGAGCAGTTTTAATACGTTTCAAGAAAACGTCTTATACGGAATAATACGTTAAGGGAGTGGGTGAATTAGAGGGGGTGGGGTGGGGGGTAATATCGTTTTGAACAGTATTTCCACAATCATAGTGAATGAGTATGGTTTTACGCCGCTTTTAGCAATATTCCAGCAATATCACGGCGGGGGTCATCAGAAATGAGCTTCACACATTGTACCAATGTGGGGAATCGAACCCGGGGTCTTCGGCGTGACGAGCTTTAACCACTAGGCTACCACAACGCCCCGTTGGTCAAAGAGGCGTAAGCCCAGTTTACTTGCTCCCTCGAAACCACATGTAACATATGTTATATTTGGGATTACACTTTCTTAGTAAAGTACAGTTTCTAGTACTTTTGTTGGGTTGAGTCCCATCCCGGATTCGAACCCACACCCTCAGAATCAGGCACCTAATCGCCAGCACACAAAGTCAGACGCCTAGACCGCTCAGCCACCGCGACTTCCACTAAACCTGATGTAAATTCAAAACATTAAGCAAGGAAATGGAGATTAGAAAGCCATGTCAAAAGGAGAAAATGAATTCATAACGCCTGGTATTTTACCATTTCAAGATCTGGACACTTACATACAATACACATAAAGTAACGGCGACTCTTCAAGCGGCATTTAGAGTGAGTGAGTGAGTTTAGTTTTACGCCGCACTCAGCAATATCTCATCTATATGGCGGATGTCTGTAAATAATCGAGTCTGAACCAGACAATCCAGTGATTAACAGCATTAACATCGATCTACGCAATTGGGATACGGTGACATGTGTCAACCAAGTCAGAGAGCCTGACCACCCGATCCCGTTAGTAGCCTCTTACGACAAGCATGGGTTACTGAAGATCAGTTCAAACCCGGATCTTCACGGGTTCCACAGTAACAGCTAACACAATCAGACTGAATATGAACATGATAATAAAAATTTATATTTATAAAAAATAATTATTTTTTGGAATTCATTGTTTCATCCACACCAGAAGATACCTGTGTATGCCTGTTCGGATTAATATCACATTTTCCTCACAAACCTTTTACCTACACGTCTTGGAGGACTGGTCTTATCATCTTCAGGCAAGATCCATGGCGCTATCAACCCCCACCACATGGGCACTAGAATGCCTAGATCTTCCAAGACAAGAGTCAAATAAACTCCCCCTTAGCATGGCGATCAGCAAGATCACAAACTGAATCAAAGGCACTCCAATAAAACAACAGACGAAGGCATAGAGGGTGGCACTTCCAGGATTACCCTTCCAGTCCAACACAGGGTATATGGAGCTGTAGCCCAGGCCATTGGTTCCGCCTGCAGCCTGGTATACCGCAGAGAAGATGACGTAGCTGACCGCCACGATGAAAGGATGGAAGAAGTGGAGCCATCTGACTGGCGATGCTGTGATACATAGGTTGATGAAGACGTATGCGGTGTTGCCGGCGTGTGTGATGTAGCTGACATTTGAGATGACTTTTCCCGCTGGAAGAGTAGTTTCTTTAATGTATATACTCATGGAAACAAATAAGGGAACACACGAAAATACAAGTGTTCCTTTATTTATTTCGAGAACTTCTCTCACATTGCAATACATACCTTGATAAGAAACCTGGAAAAGAATAAAGGAGCACTTGCACTTTCATCTGTTCCCTTACTTGTTTCCATGAGTATATTAAACACTGATTCCAGTGCCTTGGTGTATTGACATCTTGAAGCAACCAATGGCATTACGGTGATTTAGTTGGTTGGTTTGTTGTTTAACGCCGCACTCAGCAATATTCCAGCTATATGGCGGCAGTTTGTAAAAAATAATCAAGTTTGAACCAAACAATCCAGTGATTAACATCCTGAACATCGATTGACTCAATTGGGATACGATGACATGTGTCAACCAAATCAGCGAGCCTGATCACCCAATCCCGTTAGTCGCCTCTTGCGACAAGCATTGGTTACTGAAGACCAATTCTAACCTGGATCTCTACAGGTATATTACACTCTGTAACACTACATCATTGAGTGGGGATCTTCACTGGGGTGAGCAGTACAATCATAAATAAAACAAATAATAATAATAACACAAACGTTATCTGTCAACTATCCTACCAAGTCATGTCCATAACAGATAGCAAAATGGCAGTGGACATTTGACCAGGTGCCCTACGTCCACGTCGTGACGATCTCGGTAAGTCTGACATGTGATGTGCGTGTATATGTCTCTTTCTCCGTGTGTGGGGCAATTCGGGCAAACGGGATGCACTGATCAAAATCTGAGCTGTTTTGGCACCCGTCACACGCATGGGACTTGTCTTCGGGTGGCTTTAAGGGTGGGAAAACGTAACACATGACATAAAGGCTAAGACACAGGGCTTTCAGTCTATCGTAACCACAGAACATCGTGGTCGATGTACGAAACATGAGAAGTACCTGCAGCGTGGAAACCTGTCGTAAATAGGGCCAACTCACGCTACCAAGCGCCCCGGCGTCGACCCTGTTAAAGACAGGTCACTTCTGATGATACCACCAGTTAGCCCAGGGAGCCACCTTCACGTCGATGTGCAACATGTGCATGGGTTGTGTATAATGAAGGTATATTCACGTGACTACAGCATACTGAAGTTGTAAATGTGACTTTAACACACTGAAGGTAAATGTACGTGACTATAACATACTGATGGTGTATGCACGTGACTATAACATACTGTAGGGATACTTACGTGACTATAACACACTGATGGTAAATATACGTGACTATAACATACTAATGGTGTATGCACGTGACTATAACATACTGTAGGGATACTTACGTGACTATAATACACTGAAGGTAAATGTACGTGACTATAACACACTGAAGGTAAATGTACGTGACTATAACACACTGATGGTAAATGTACGTGACTATAACACACTGAAGGTAATACACGTGACTATAACACACTGAAGGTAAATGTACGTGACTATAACATACTGAAGGTGGTGTATGCACGTGACTATAACATACTGTATGGGATACTTACGTGACTATAATACACTGAAGGTAAATGTACGTGACTATAACACACTGAAGGTAAATGTACGTGACTATAACACACTGATGGTAAATGTACGTGACTATAACACACTGAAGGTAATACACGTGACTATAACACACTGAAGGTAAATGTACGTGACTATAACATACTAATGGTGTATGCACGTGACTATAACATACTGTAGGGATACTTACGTGACTATAACACACTGAAGGTAAATGTACGTGACTATAACACACTGATGGTAAATGTACGTGACTATAACACACTGAAGGTAATACACGTGACTATAACACACTGAAGGTAAATGTACGTGACTATAACACACTGAAGGTAAACGTACGTGACTATAACACACTGAAGGTAAATGTACGTGACTATAACATACCGAAGGTAATATACGTGACTATAATATACTGAAAATGTATGCACGTAGATATAACACACTGAATGTAAACTTACATAATAAAACATACTGAAGGTGTATGCACGTGAATATAACATACTGATGGTGTATGCACGTGAATATAACATACTGATGGTGTATGCACGTGTAAATATAACATACTGGAGGTGTACTTACGTGTATATAACATACTGATGGTGTACTTACGTGTATATAATAGCACCCAGAACAAAAGGGTCACCAGCACACTGACGGTGTTGCTCAGGTTTTGCCAAACCCAGGTCACTTTGAGAAACGTGGGCATGCGGGGGACGTCACCTGCACCAAGAAACTATCAGTTAGTGCGCAGCCTGTTCTGCCACTAGTAACACAGGGTAGTTTCAGGGCCCTGTTGCACAAAGCATCCTTAGCGCTAAGACTGCCTTAAGTCAATGTTAAGGTATGGGAGTTACGATCACTTTAGCGCTAAGATCCCTTTGTACAATGTCAACCTGGGCCTAGATTTTCGAAGCTCTCTTAGCGCTAAGATAGTCGTAAGTGCTATACATTAACATTAACTTACGACTATCTTAGCGCTAAGAGAGCTTCGAAAATCTAGGCCCTGGACGTTAGAAATGTGTTGGAATACATGGAAAGACATTGTTTTGTAATCCTAACAATCTGTAACAGTCTGCTTCGTCTCGGTGAATATCACATGTCCAAGGTCGTTAACCATGGCTCAACCTCACTAGAAGTCAATAATTATACAGTATTACATTCGTTACATGTCATCAGTGGTAACGTCCTGGGTCAAGACACGTAGCCTTTCGAACACCTGCAGCATGTACGTGACATAAGTGGCGCTGTGAGTCGCGTCCCTTCATCGTGGCCGACAACTATAACAGTGATTTTGAATCCCAAATTCTCACGGATTATCTTGTGTTTTTCTGCATCAAATCAACGCTTGTAGGTTTCATCAAAGTGAAAAACTCGAAATTACTCCAGGCTTCCCTCCCACGTCAAACATATCGTGACGTAACTTGAATACTGTTAAAAACGATGTTAAGACCACTCACTATTTAACTCTCAGCACCACTTTCCACAATCCCGAAAAGTAGCGTTGACATGGCAATAGGGCCCGTAAGGAAGTCATGGCACTTCGCGAGACCTTACGTTGTTTAGTACTTCAAACGAACGTTTAATACCTTTTCGAATGGTCTCATGGTTGTCAGTTGACAGTAAGGAACCGATAATCTTTGCAGGAATAACAAATTTTTGATCTAACCATACTCAAATTAGCCAACTATTACGACTGTCAACAGCTGTGACGGCCAAGCATGGTTGTACACTTGGTCCGGTCTAGTAAAATCATATTTGGCGGTCGCGCAATTTGGACCTAGAACTGGTTCCTGAATATACGATTGTCACCGGTAATCTGGTACCGGAAGTGAGCTGGACCGCATCCGGCATGTCGCAAGTTGGCGCCCGCAAAGGGCTTAGTACCGGAAGTAGCGCCTTGCAAGACTTACAGGCCTTATATAAATTGATCCATTCCACACAAAAAAGCTACGCGTTCCCATGTTCTTTAGCCCGGTATTATAAATGTGTATGATAGCTATTATAATGCACCACTATAGTCTGTTTGCAGAGAAAACGTACCGATGAATTTCACTTTAAACAAGAAAGTAAATCAAATAAAGTGAAATTAAGATTGCGAATCCTCATAATTTTACCTTGCCAATTGAACATTTGAATCTCAGAATTTTATTCAACTTAGGAAGCCGATTCCTGGTGTCCCCCGCCGTGATATTGCTGGAATATTGCTAAAAGCGGCGTAAAACTAAACTCACTCAATCACTAAATGAAATTCATGATAATGATCGTACCGGCTATTGATGATAGCGATAACAACCAAATGAGTGAGAATGGTTTTACGCTGCTTTTAGCAGCATTCCAGACTCATAAAGCCAGGGACACTAGAGACACTAGAGCCAGTGACACAGAGAAATGGGCCTCACACATTGTACCCTTTAAAGAATGTGTCATCGTATCTCATGTTGCCGGGGCGGTGGGTTAGCCTAGTGGTTACAGCGTTCGCTCGTCATGCCGAATAACTGGGTTCGATTCCCCACATGGGTACAATAACTATAGGGCGTGTGGGTCCAGTAATACGCCCATTTCTGGTGTCCCCCGCCGTGACATTGCTGGAATATTGCTAAAGGCGGCGTAAAACTAAATGCACTCATTCATAGTGCCAATCTCTAGATTGTCTGGTCTAGATTCGTCCAGCTGTAATATTGCTGAATGCGGCGTCAGACAAACACATACTAATGACATAGTCAGAACTGTGCGATCGATTCTGCTTTTAGCAGAGATTTCTTACGAAAATGGAAAGGGGTTTTGTCGTATCTATATACAGAAATGTTTATAATTCACAATACATACCCTTTATGATGTCCTTCCTGATCAGGTGGCAATATCCCACAGCGATGAACTCAATGATGGTGCCCAAGGTTAAGATGAAGAACATCCAGTTGGTGAGATAGACAAACCATTTGATGTTGTCCTGGTCGGTCCTCGTCCAGGTTTGTCTGTCAGTCAGTCCCGACATGAAGATCATGGCCACGTGATAGGCTGCAACAACGCCGCGCCAACACAGGTACACTTTTGGCCAGCCCCACTGGAAGGGAAATATTGAGAAGTGTATTGGTAACATCAAGCCTGGTAATGTTATGGGAAGGTAACATTATGACGGCGATTGGTAACATAAGGACAGGTGCTGTCATCCCAGACATCACAAGCTGTACAGGGTAACATATAAACAGGTTCTGTCATCCAAGATTTAAATGATACCATTAGCTGTACAGATTGACATATAAACAGGATCTGTCATCCAAGATTTAAATGGTACCATTAGCTGTACCGATTGACATATAAACAGGTACTGTCATCCAAGATTTAAATGGTACCATTAGCTGTACAGATTGACATATAAACAGGATCTGTCATCCCAGATTTAAATGGTACCATTAACTGTACAGATTGACATATAAACAGGATCTGTCATCCCAGATTTAACGACGGGTAACATTAACTGTACAGAGTAACATATATAGAGAATACTACACGAGGTCTCATTACATACGAATTATGCGAAACGAGTGTCCTTCCTATGTTATCTGACCGAGCGAAAGCGAGGTCAGATAACATAGGAAGGTCACGAGTTTCGTATAATTCGTATGTAATGAGGCCGAGTGTGGTATTTTATTTATTACCCACGTCTTACATGCATATAAATTGACAAAATAGCGTATTTTTGTTATGTTTTTGGTTTCAAACCGAAACTGGTTTCATAAAGAGGTTGCGGAAGAGTTTTGTACTGTAGTACAATATTTGCATGACGTCACACTAATGACGTCACTGCCATGGTAACCGACGTCACGATGCATGTCAGTTGTCATCGCCTCGTACAGCCTCCTACAGTAAACTACTCCGTTGCACCTCGTTTCTTGGTTTCCAGCTGCTTCATTCGGCTAACATCACTGGTGGAAACATTGCGTTTATGTTTTTCGACAGATATAATGTCTCAGTTCGACTCACAATTAAACAGCGACACGGTAACGTTCGCAATGTTTACATTCCCACAATGCATTTAAGTTGTAGAATGAATGAATTCACGTGTTTGTTATGAATGAAAAAATAGTTACGTCAGAATGTGACCTAATTGAGAGGTCATCGGTTATCCAATCAAATCGTTAGAATTTCAGGTCAAGTCGTTACGACACAGGTCAACGCGATACGACACTCGTGTGACGTACGAGATTAATATGCAACTACCCATACGTTGACCACGTGGGTAATAAAAACAGGTACTGTCAACCCAGATTTAACGACGGGTAACATTAGCTGTACAGAGTAACATATAAACAGGTACGGTCAACCCAGATTTAACGACGGGTAACATTAGCTGTACAGAGTAACATATAAACAGGTACTGTCATCCCAGATTTAACGTGTAACATTTAGCTGGACAGATGAACATATAAACAGGTACTTCATCCAATATTTAACGGGTACTATTAGCTGTACAGGGTAACATATGAACAGCTACTTCATCCCAGATTTAACGGGTAACATTAGCTGTACAGGGTAACATATAAACAGGTACTGTCATCCCAGATTTAACGAGTAACATTAGCTGTACAGAGTAACATATAAACAGGCACTGTCATCCCAGATTTAAAGTGTAACATTAGCTGTACAGATTAACGTATAAACCGGTACTTCATCCCATATTTAACGGGTACTATTAGCTGTACAGGGTAACATATAAACAGGACTGTCATCCTAGATTTAAAGTGTAACATTAGCTGGACAGATTAACGTATAAACCGGTACTTCATCCCAGATTTAACGGGTACTATTAGCTGTACAGAGTAACATATATACAGGTACTGTCATCCTAGATTTAAAGTGTAACATTAGCTGGACAGATTAACGTATAAACCGGTACTTCATCCCATATTTAACGGGTACCATTAGCTGTACAGAGTAACATATATACAGGTACTATCATCCCAGATTTAACGGGTACCATTAGCTGTACAGAGTAACATATATACAGGTACTGTTATCCCAGATTTAAAGTGTAACATTAGCTGGACAGATTAACGTATAAACCGGTACTTCATCCCAGATTTAACGGGTACCATTAGCTGTACAGAGTAACATATATACAGGTACTTCATCCCAAATTTAACGGGTACTATTAGCTGTACAGGGTAACATATATACAGGTACTGTCATCCCATATTTAACGGGTACCATTAGCTGTACAGGGTAACATATAAACAGGTACTTCATCCAAGATTTAACGGGTACCATTAGCTGTACAGAGTAACATATATACAGGTACTGTCATCCCAGATTTAACGGGTACCATTAGCTGTACAGATTAACATATATACATATACTGTTATCCCAGATCTAACGGGTGGCATTAGCTGTACAGATTAACATATAAACAGGAACTGTCATCCCAGATTTAACGGGTACCATTAGCTGGACAGATTAACATATAAACAGGTACTGTCATCCCAGATTTAACGGGTACCATTAGCTGTACAGGGTAACATATATACAGGTACTGTCATCCCAGATTTAACGGGTACCATTAGCTGTACAGGGTAACATATATACAGGTACTGTCATCCCAGATTTAACGACAGGTAACATTAGCTTACAGGGTAACATATAAACAGGTACTGTCATCCTAGATTTAACGGGTAACATTAGCTGTACAGATTAACATATAAACAGGTACTGTCATCCCAGATTTAACGGGTAACATTAGCTGTACAGGGTAACATATATACAGGTACTGTCATCCCAGATTTAACCGGTACCATTAGCTGTACAGAGTAACATATAAACAGGTACTGTCATCCCAGATTTGTCGACGGGTAACATTAGCTGTACAGGGTAACATATAAAAAGGTACTGTGATCCCAGATTTAACGACGGGTACTATTAGCTGTACAGAGTAACACATAAACAGGTACTGTCATCCCAGATTTAACGACGGGTAAAATTAGCTGTACAGGGTAATATATAAACAGGTACTTCATCCCACTGATGATTTAACGAGTAACATTAGCTGTACAAGGTAACATGTAAACAGGTACTTCATCCCAGATTTAACGGGTAACATTAGCTGTACAGGGTAACATATAAACAGCTGCAGGTACTTCATCCCAGATTTAACGGGTAACATTAGCTGTACAGGGTAACATATCAACAGGTACTTCATCCCAGATTTAACGAGTAACATTAGCTGTACAGGGTAACATATAAACCGGTACTTCATCCCAGATTTAACGAGTAACATTATCTGTGTAGGTAACATTAATACATGTACTGTCATCCCACATTTAACGGGTAACATTAGCTGTACAGGGTAACATATACACAGGTACTGTCATCCCAGCTTTAAAGGGTAACATTAGCTGTACATGGTAACATATAAACAGGTACTGTCATCCTAGAGTTAACGGGTAACATCATTTGTGTAGGTAAGATTAATACATGTACTGTCATCCCAGCTTTAACGGGTAACATTAACCGTGTAGGTAATATTAATACATGGGCTGTCATCCAAAAAGAACGGGTAACATTAGGAACTGTATATGGTAATGTAAGAATAGGTACTGTCATTCCAAATCGAAGGGCACCATTAGGATCTGTATAGGGTAATATAACTGTACATTTATTATCTAAATCATATATAACTATCAACCTATAAGCAAGGGTAAAATTGTTAGGTGCATTCGTAATAAACACACACGCACTTTCAGCAGTGTTTGGGCGGTCTGTCTCACAGTCGCTCAACAGCATTACCTCCCCTTCCGCCCAGCCCTTTCTGCAGTGCTGAAGCCCTAAACGAAGTTACTGTAGATTTCCTCAAGTTTTGAATCTTCCTTTTCACTGGGGCTTCTTTTCAATATAAAAAAAATGATCTATTTTATGGAATCCGAGAAGGGACATTGTCGCGTTGTCGCATTGTCGCCCTCTCAAAAACAAGTAAAATGAGGCAAAATAAACCAAAACGCGCCACGCGACAACGTGACAACGCGACATTTCACCCATTTGTCGCTACGACGCAACAATGTCCCTTCCAGGATTCCATACTATTTCCATCTAGATTACATATATTCCGAGACAGGGGCGGTGGGGTAGCCTAGTGGTTACAGCGTCCGCTCGTCACGCCGAAGACCCGAGTTCGATTCCCCACATGGGTACAATGTGTGAAGCCAATTTCCTGGTGTCCCCCTCCGTGATATTGCTGGAATATTGCTAAAAGCGGCGTAAAACCAAACTCAGTATTCCGAGACTAAGCATTTGTCCAGGCGGGAGCTTGCTTGTACTCACGCAACAATCAGTATACTTCTATGTTCGTTCTATATTAAAATATTACTGTCGTGAAATAACGACAAGAATTTGCGTGGGGGTTTGGGGGCGTAAAACCGTACGAAATTGTTTTCGAGTGTTTTCTGGAAAAACATCCTTTAAAATGAATCCAAAGAAGTATTTAAATATTAACTGTCATCATATACTACCGCAAACAAAACGTAATCCAGAAAATATTCAGCCACCCTTAACACGTACGTAAAGTCTTTTGTACAAACACATTACAGTCTGCTGAGACACTTTAAGAAACATAGGTGTTACAGCCAGAGTGTGGAGAGTAGTTCGATAAGATATTTATTGATTTATGATGTTTACCCAGTACAGAAGATAAATAAATTAACCACGTCACGTGGTTTTCCTTTTAAACGACGCCATGGGGTAACAACTTTCGGGGCAGTTTTCACACAAGTATGAAGTACTTACTCAACATTTTCTCGTCTTTGTCCTTTTTCTTTCCTGACCATTTAACGATTAAACACTTTTAGTGCTTTTCTCTGCCATATCGAGAGATACTTTTGAACAATGTCATCTGATTTTCCGTTGCGCTGGCAACGTCAAGTATCATAGACATATATTGTTTGGCAAAATGTATTTCCATTTTTGGACACATTTTGTGAATGTCGGGTGCTATCGGTCGTATTATTCGTAGGGCATGCTTTCCCTGTCGTGAACACCTGAGGCATCACTAATTTTGCGTCCTTCATTCATATAATTTTCACAGCTATGCTTTCCTTTACACCAAACGTAAATTCCGAATTTGTTTCGGGGATAGTCAAGACAGGGTATTCCAAGATGCTTCGCTAATAGATCAAAAGCGACGACAGTACTCTATCAGACGAGATAGTACACTCTTTTGCATTACGTCACACTGTATTGACGTCACTACGCCGTTCTTGTCTGCCCCCTCGTAATGGAACGTACCTTTGGTAACCGACGTACCGATGCATTTCAGTTGTCATCGCCTCGTACAGCCTCCTACAGTAAACTACTCCGTAGCACCTCGTTTCTTGGTTTGCACTCGGCGAACATCACTGGTGGAAACATTATGTTTAACTTTTTAAATATATGTCTCAGCTCGAATCATAATTAAACAGCGACGCGGTAATGTTCACTGACTATGCCTATGTCCACAGTCCCACAATGCATCAGTGGAATGTCGCATGACTAATCAACATCATCTCGACGTGTCTGCCCCCTACGTTAAGGCACACGTTACCAGAAAAACAAAACAAATGATTAACGGTTTACGTTCAGGTTAAACATCTTCTCTAAATGATTTTAATTACATCTGTGATTAACGTAAACCATATGGTGCAATATGAACGTCGCATTTCTATTAGCAACGTAAGTTTAGATCAGTACACAAAGATAAAGTTGATTGGTCACGCGACAGTCCACGGATGCATTGTGGGAATATAAACATTGCGAACGTTGCCAGGTCGCTGTTTAATTGTGAGTCGAACTGAGGCATTTCATCTGTCGAAAATCATAAACCGTTACGTAATGTTTCCACCAGTGACGTTAGCCGAGTGCAGCAACTGCAAACCAAGAAACGGGGAGCTACGTAGTGTACTGTAGGAATCTGTACGAGGCGATGACAACTGACATGCGGTCGTGAGGTCGGTTACGAAGGGTACGTTTGATAACGAGGGGGCAGACGAGAATGGCGTAATGACGACAATACAGTGTGACGTCATGTATACTTTTTTTTCAACGCCCTGTTGCATTTATTCCACACCTGGAATACATGACGCCCATGGAATATACTTCCTCAAACACACAACTATAAAATAAATTGAATGAATACAAATTGGACTATATAAAGATAAACAAGTATATAAATAATCTTTTGTATATATGCCTAAAAGGACATGCTCTAGGTTACACACCACCAAATGTTTTCCCATAGACTTCTATAGTAACCTTATATTTTTTTTTACAAATATCCAGGCTATCAACAGCCATTCCATGTACACATGGGTACACTCTGGCCTTTAAACTACCATAAAACAAAATATCAGGGCAACTTGTCCGGCTCGTTTTGAGAGCACAGGAAGCAGAACACATCAACCCCAGTTCCGCACCAAATGTCACCTACTGGAAAATATCTGTACACACAATAAGCATAAGTGATGGTAATAAAAATGACAGCACCAAATACTTAAAATTGTGGTCAGGTTTAATTACTGGTTGGATGTGCTTTTAAAAAAACAAACATCTTACACTATTTCATCCAATCACAGCTGTCACATGTCTCTGTCTCTCTTCACTTGTTTACATACGGCTCTCGCGCAGGGAGCATGTGATACTGATTTAGTGTAGTGGAACCTCTAACCACTCGACGTAGACTGTAAAGGAGGCAACGAGTCTTTGGGTGGGGCCTTGTCAAGGTTCAGCACCTGGGCCCCGTCCCACCAAGCGATCTTAGCGCTAAGGTGATCATAACTCCCATCCATAGATTTACGACAGTCGTAGCGCAACGATCGCTTTGTGAAACGGGCCCCTGGGACTTGAGGCGCCTGTTGGCCGTCTCTTGCTGTTGCTTCCGGATCCGGTAACATTCTTGTTCCTTCCGCCGGTGATGAGGGTACTTGGATATATCCATCATGTAGGACTGGTTACAGTGATGCTCCGCCTCCCCATTCATGTGTTTGCAGTACGGTGCCTTCGCGTTCATTCTCTTCAATGTGGCCATATTGTCGGTGTGATCAGCGATTCGCAACAACTATCGCTGCCGTCGTCTTGTTCAAGCTCTTGCCCATGTAGTCTTGTTTGACGTTGTTACCCATGCAGCCAGTCCTCGTGTAGACTAACGCTTAGTCTCTGAATATGTAAAATTTTGATAGTAACAAACAAACCCATTTAGATTGAAAAGGAGCCCCAGGGAGACCAGAATCTAGACTTGCCTCATTTAGGGCCATTTAGATTGGTCCAGAGACTGTGAGACAACTACAGGGAACCCTAGGGAGCCAGAATCTAATGTGGCTCCAGACTCTGCCAGATGTAGGGCTTTAGCATTGCAGAGAGGGCTCGGCTGTAGGGAACATAATGTGGCTCAGAACATATTGTGGTTCAGGACTGTGAGACAGACTAGGCTTTAGCATTGCAGAGAGGGCAAGGCTGTATGGCCAACATAATGTTGTCCAGAGACTGTGAGACAGACTTTTAGCACTGCAAGAGAGTATGCGGTTGGCTTTAACATGGCGAGGGAACATAATGGGTTCAGGGACTGTGAGACAGACTAGCCCTCAAGATATGTGCCATCTTCTGAAGGAGTATGCGGTTGTGCGACTCCTCGATGGAGAGACGCTCGCCCTTCATCTGGAGTTCCTTCACCTTAATGTGCACGTGCATGTACGTGTATTTTATCGCCTGATAAGTACTATCGGCGCCTTTGATCTTCTAGCGAAGCATCTTAGAAAGAGTAATGAAATACCTTTTTCCCTGAACTATTATAACGTAATAGCATCCTCGTACTTGAACTATAATAGTTCAGGGCAAAAGTGTACTTTATTACACTATTCATGGGGTGGAACGAACTGTATTTTTTATTGTTTTATACTGACGTTCTGTATATAAGCAATAAATCCCCTTTTTGTTCCTTGTTATCAACACATGTTTATCACCGTGCAGTCATCTGCATCAGTCACGTCATGGGAACATTTATTCTCAGTAACCGATAACTTTACCTACTGCAATAACTCGAGCGTGACGAGAGCCTGCGTGACTCAACATTGTCCCAAAGCGCATGAAGTCAGGACTATGCCTGGGGCGGGTGGCTGAACGTCTATATGTCGTATACCTTTATAGCTTAGTGTTCCTGTTCCCTGAACACACGTGTACGTTTTATCACATGGAATTAATATAATTGATGTGACAGATATGTGGTGTAGTCTTCGTACACTGGGGATCAGCTTTTGGTGAAGGGAAAGTGGGCGAGCCTATTCGTCGCATCATGACTTGTAGTCGGGTGTATTTCTTGTATCACCTATCTCATCAAGCATTCTGCCCCGTTGCCGCTCATGTCATCAAATACAACTCAACATTTATATTCTGTTGTGACAAACATGAATAGTTGATGTTCTGTTACTTTGAATGTTCATTTCTGTAAACAAGTGGTTCGTGTGTCGTGTTATTCACCCAGGTAGCGTGCCATCATCGGCCCGACGTCGGCTGGTAGTCGGCACCGTAGTGAACACATAACATTTTCTAAACATTTTCTTAAGGTTTCAAACTGGTTTATCAGAAATATTTTCGTCAAAGCATAATAGTCTCGGTGTTATAACAATTTCTCTCAGCTATTTAATAACATTAATTATTCAAATGGGTTTTTAAAAAAGTTGTTCATCAACAAGTAAGCAAATAATAGTTAATATAGCATACATGGACTATTTACTATAAAGTATGCCGACGTTGGGCCGATTCAGGGTTAATGCAGGGCCATTGAAGTTGGGCCGACGGCGATCCGATGAGCAAAACTTCATCTGCGCGATGATGTTTGCCGACTTTGGGCCGATGATGCACCTGACGTCAGGCCGATGTCGGGCCGATGTCGGCATGCTGCCTGGTCAGTTGTATCATACATTGTGTACCAGTACGTATCATAAATCAACTGTACCATCTGAATCAAAACTGTTGACTCACACTGAAACACTTACTTCGAATCTGGTAAAACGATGTGGCTGGGGATGTTCAAGTCCAAAGCTGGAACATCGGAACTGTTCCCTCCAGTGTTCCTTGGAACACATTGTCCCACTGTCCGAACTGTCACTGAAACAGGGTCCGTGAAACGTGTACGCTTGTAAACACGTGACTTGAGTTAATGTTAATGTCGGATAACTTAGTGACTTATCGCCTGGAACGGATGAGTCATGATATTTTCCCCACACCGGAAGTAGCGAACGAGCAGACGACACTGATACTCAAAGCAGACGACACGGATCCTCAAAGTCGCCACGAAAACCATTCAAAATGGCGAAGATAAAATGAAACGCCTGTGAACCAGTCCGGAAGTCGGTCAAGCGGAACTCCCGGTCATGAACTGGTTTGTTTACAGGTTACTAGGCGCACGTATACGAAGAATTGCTACAGTAAACGTGTAATATCTGTTCATACAGTGTTGCAGCTAGGCGTACAAGTCATTTACAGGTCAAATGCCGCGTTATTAATTGAATGGATTTATCACGGATGAGTGAGCCGGCGTGAGGTTAGCTTGCTTTGCTACAACAATTCAGTGAAGCATGTCTCGTGTAGAAGCTATTCAATCAATCCAGATCGCGATACACACTGCTGAATATAACTTCTCGCAGTCACCCGACTTCCAATGTTCAGCCTCAATGGTGATGTTTATCAAATGTGTAATGGCAAATGGGTATTTCTTGAAAAATCACTTTGCAGTTTTTTTTCCATTACTGAAAAAATGTCCTTATATCCGGAATTATTTCTATTCACTTTATAAAAAACCCAAATAGCACCCATGAAGCTATCTCGTTATATAAGGCCACGTAAAAATATTTTTTTGTTTCTCATTACCGCCCGATCCTAATTTTATATATATTTGTTATACTGGTAAATTTGCATATATAAAGCTGGCAGACAACGAAATCCGTCTCAGCTTCCGGCATTCCAAGTTTTCTACTAACATTGTACAGAATATCAGAAAAATAAATAAATATAAAATCCGCCCTACCTACCCATTTTTTTAACAAAGTGACGAGAAGCAAGAAATTTATTTTATGTGGCCTAATAATCGCATTATGTCTTTAATTTCATTTCAGCAGTACACATTTCCCATTTGTCTACAAATGAGAACGACGAATTGCGAAACAAGTCAAAATAGGGAAGAATGTATTAAATGTCGTTAGGGTATATGACAACAAATACCCTGTAACAAACAATTGGGCACCCAGTGTAACATACAGTTGCAGATAAATAAGGGTACAGTGCACTCTGTCAAACTTGGACTCTGTCTTTCTCGGATTGCTATATAAACAGGACTGAACTTACGGTCCCGACATAATCCTGCTTTGTTGTCATAATGAAAAAGCTCTGTATCTCGGACTCTCATTATTTCGGATTTCGGACCAAAGTGTCGGCCCGAAAAGGTAGTTACACGTAAAACATTGCTTTATACTGAGCAGAAGTCCGCTTGGCCAATAAACTTTGAATAAACAATCCGTATATACCTCATCGCGACTCTTGCAGTGTTAAATGCAGGGTAAGAGGCGACTAACGGGATCGGGTGGCCAGGCTCGCTGACTTGGTTGACACATGTCATCGCATCCAATGGCGTAGGTTGATACTCATGTTGTTGATCACTTGCCTATTACATACAGCTGACATATAGTTGGAACACTGCAGGATGCAGCGATAGACAACGATGTCAAATAGTTACGAAAATAAACCACCAGGAAAACGGCACTAAATGCATTCAGGAATCTCATCTTAATGGAACAGAATTTAGCAGGTTGAAAGAATATTTCTTCTGATTCGTGAGCCTCCGGTATACGAAAACATAATTATATTGTAAGGTGAAAACTCCAACCTGTGATCATCTTTCGGGGGATGTTTCCTGATTAGCGGAGTTCGGTTTTGAGAAGTGTCGCCCCACATTCCGTGTCCTGTATCTCGGAGAGTCAACCGTAGAAACACTGTGGTGCGTCACCGATACTTCATAAAACAGTTGCCATGGAAACGAATTGGCCAATTACCAACTTGAATTAATAATAACAATATAACCACAGCAGGAATATCGTGAAAGAGACTGAACATGTGTTGTAGGTAATTGAATATAAATATAATTGAATAATGATAATAAAAATAATGGCTATTTATATAGCGCTTTTTCCACACTCTTCAGTTCATAGTCTTTATTTGCACTTATGAGGCCACAGGCCACATGTATACTGACTATAGTGTTATTAGGCAGTAGAGAGTACATTTCTCCTGTGTAGAAAGGCATGGTATAGGAACATTGACAACTTTTCCTGGTGTTCCTTGCTAGAGTAGGTTAACAGAGATATAAATTTATAAATATTGTGATGTTCAAAGTAATATTTCTTAATATACTTATTTCTTAAATTGTGGTAGTCTGGACAAACACAAAGAAAATGATATTCATCTTCAATTAGATTCAAGTCACACATTGTACATATTCTATCGTCTTTTTTTATTCCAATATATCTACCTGTTTCTATTAACAAATCATGGGAGAAGCAACGAAATTTTGTAAGCGTGATTCTATATTTCCTTACATTCAAATATGATAGATAGGTTTCATTGTATATAGATTGCTTAAACATTCTGTAATAGAAACATTTATTTGATACGGATAATTGGTCAAGACAAGTCTGGAGATATATATCTTGTAACCTTTGTTTAATGGATATGAGAAAATTTGGATGCGAGACTATGCACTGTTCTAGCCATATATTACCGAAACCAGCAGAAAATAGTAAATGTTTGACGTCTGTGACCCAATTACGTTTTCCATTTCTATCGTACAAAATCATCATATTGTTACATTTTTTGGGTAATCTGTAAGATGGCATATTTAAGATTTTTAACCAATATTTTACTACTTTCATTTTAGATTCAACAAATAATGGAAACCTACCACATTCACCATAAACAATTATGTTTGAAGTAGTAACTTTAACCCCAAGGAATCTTTTTATTGCATATAAATGTGCTTTTTCTAGTGTATCAAATGTTTGTTGTCCCCAAACCTCAGAACCATATAGAAGTATAGGACTAATTTTAGCATCAAAGATTCTAAAATATCATTTGTGTGACAAGTCACCTAGAATATAAATATATCTAATAATACCAATTAGTATTTTCTTTGCTTGCATCGATGCATTTCTGACATGTAAGGACAACGATAGGTGGTTTGTAAAGTAAACTCCGAAGTATTTGTAAGACGTAGCTGTTTCTATCATTTCACCTTGATAATACCATTTCTCTTTTGCAGCAAGTTTACCTCCATTCTTGAACACAATTATTTTAGTTTTATCTCTATTTACGGTTAGTTTCCATTCATGACAGTATGTTTCTGATTCATTTATTTCTGCTTGTAATCCGCGAATAGTGCTAGAGAGAAGTATGATATCATCAGCAAATAACAGAAGAAATAGCTGTACTATATCTGGATGTAGCTGAATACCATTTGAACAGTTTTCATGAATCTGTATTGCTAGTTCATTGATAAAGAAAGAAAATAGAAATGGACTCAAGATACAACCTTGTCTTACTCCTATTCATTCTCTTCCCACAGAGGTTACTCCTGTCATATCTTCCTACGTAACCTCTGTTCTAATACGGCCCTTTCATGGTGTGAGCGTTCAAGACTCGTGATTGGAGGCAATCAGATTTAGTTGTGCAATCAGCGACGTTGTTTCAAAAGTGACTCATTCACAAGGCCTCGGTTATTTCCGTATGCTTCGAGAAAACTAAACCTATTCCCCTGCGCGATGCGCAAACGTTTCTTCTAGACAGAACTCAGTCATGTTATGGCGGATCAGTGGCGTCTCCATCGCCCTTGTTGACAACGGACAAGCTAGCCATTAAACGTCTTGTGTGTAACATCAACACAAGTCCCCGGCAGATGGGGGATATTTGTGGCCCCACATTTGCTTGTGTTAGTCAAGTTGAATCTAAGTCGATGTAACACGTGTTCTGATTGGATAGAAAGAAGGGAGATAATTCGTGTTGCGATCTTTTGCCGCTAGGGGATTTTACGAGAACCGGGAAATATGGCCGTATTAGAACAGAGGTTACTAGGAAGATATGACAGGAGTAACCTCTGTGGGAAGAGAATGACTCCTATTTGGCTCTCAAAGGTTTCAGATATTTCATTATTGTTTCTCACACACATCTTTACGTTATCATTAATACTTCTTAAAAGTTTACTCATTTTACTGCTTAAGGAATGATTCTCTAGACGATTCCATAACTTTTCTCTTTGAACAGAGTCGAAAGCCTTTGCAAAATCTACAAAGAGAACATAGAATTTGGTACCTTTCTTAATTAAGTATTTCTGTATAAGTGAATGTAAAAGAAATATGTTGTCAGTAGTAGTATATAGAGAATCTCACCCAAGTGTCTTCTGATATCAATTATATCAACACGAGTTGATAAAGTTACAAATATCCGAGGCTTGCCGAGGATATTTTTACTTTATCAACGAGTGTTGATATATTTGATATCAGAAGACACGAGGGTGAGATTCTATTTATCATCCAAAATCACTCTTCATTAATTTTCAGTGAAAAATGTACATCTCTGAACATGGTACTGCCATTAGACTTGCAGTGCAGCGATGTCATAGCACTGTGACGTCATCAAGTATATGACGTCATAGCATTGTCAAGGTATTGTACAAAATCTACTGTCAAAACGATATCTCCTAGGAGATATCGTTTGATCTCACACAAGCGATATCTCCTGTGGAACACAGTTTGGGATGATAAATCCTTTTCTAAAGCCAGCTTGGGATTCACTTATCTTATCAAAGGATTCTGCCCAGAATACTAGACGTTTATTTATGATGGCAGTGAATATTTTACTAAAGACACTTAAAAGAGTAATCCATCTATAGTTTTCAGTTTGATTTGTATCACCATGCTTATGAATAGGTACAATGATACCAATCGACCATGAATGTGGAAAAAAACCATTTTCAAGAATGACATTAAACAATAATTCAAGATATGGGAGTAGAATATCTGATGAGTGTAAGAAAAATTCGGAGACAGTATCATCTATTCCTGGTGATACACTTGTAGATGCTCAAAGCGCTAACGAATGTATAAATATGAACATGATTTAATATCGTACCCTATGAGGTCCTTTTGTGTTTACAGTTATTGTTATGTATACACTGTAAAGAATGTAACGGAACATGTTGAATGTACATACTCTCCATATTGATGACTATGTGTACTAGATTCAGCAACCTTAATTCAACATCTGTCCAGTGACATATATACTGCCA